TCAATGTTAACCTTGCATTCTTTGAAAGAATACCCCTCTGTGCATATGGAGCATCGCGGTGAATTTTTACAAAACTTTGCAAATTATAGTATAAAACTATTTAAAATAATTAAAAGAAGATTGTCCACTTAGTATGGGGACTTTGGCCTGACGTGAACAGCCATTTTATCATATTTTTTGTAATTAGTTTAAAAGCACTAACTAGTAATAATGAGAATATGAACTTAATTTTGTATCAAAATGTTTAAAAAGAGATTTTTGTCATGTGAGGAAAAACAGGTTAAAGCAAAATAAAACAACATTTTTTATGATTTATTTTTATTCTGAGACATCATATGTTATTAATATGTGTTCAAGAAATTGGACAGGTGGTGAAATGTGTTCCTGATACCTTGCCCAACTTAAAAACCATAAAATAGTCATTATATGAGCGCAGCAACCCACTGTCCTTCGACCAACCATACAATTACAATAATATTCTTTTATAGCTTCCTTACCATTGTGATTATTATCATATAATATATACAGGGTGACTGGTGAATTACTATCAATATTTAAAGAGCATACTCGGTACATGATTCTCATTCGAATTATGTAAAAAAAATAGGTACTTAATTTTTGACCAAATTTCCGTATAAATAAATAAAGTGTGTACACGTTCCAAGTGTTCCAAGTGTGGACGCGTGCGGCGGCGTGCTGATACAACAACACGCCGCCGCGTGTGTGTGTGTGTGTGTGTGTGTGTATACCTAATCTGTAGGGTGTTCATACGATGCGTAATTATTTACATAACTTTTGGTTGACTTTACTTAGAAGTTTATTAATATTTATGTTATATTAATTTTTATTTTGTCATATATGATCGTCAAATATCACGTCCTCAAATATCAATAGTAATTCACCAGTCACCCTGTATATATAAAATATATTTTTTGACTTACATGCCTGCTTTGTATTTTTCCATGCAATAATCTGCAGTTGGCCAAAGGAATCAGGTAGTCAACTAATAGGTCGCTGGCTATATTTCTACATTTTTCTAAAGTATAGGAACCTTCGCCTCTTATGTGCTGCCTGTAATACAAACAAGCTTGTTTTAGTTGGTATGTTCCACATGCAATTAATATAAGATCATTATATTCTATTCTTGGAAATATGAAACTATACATGTTTACATTTATAGGTTGAAAATCTGCCCGCCTTCTATTTAAATTATTTTCGATAACAAAGTCAGCTAATGTGTTAGGAGTAAACATCTTTTCATTTATTATAATACAACAGTATTTATATACTTAATCCTTATGGATTATAATTATATAAAACAATAAAACCTCATTTTGCATTATAGGAATAGCATATACAATACATATCTATTAAAAAACGAGTAATTTAAATAATTAATTAAATTGACACTTACTCGTCGAGGAGCTATCCACTGTCTTATAATAGACTGAACCTAATTAAGATCTAGACTATGTCGCCTTCTCTCTATCAAATCACTTCCACAGTTTATGCATCTCAGAGATACGGATTGGTAAGAAGTCACTTCTTCTGTGTGCAGACTATCATGAGACACGCTTTGGTTTTGTTCAATGTCCATATTAAAGCCGTGGTTAGCGATGGAGCTAGTTTCGGGGTCCATATTACGTGAGTGTTGTTCATCGTTTATGCCTTGATCAGAGTCCATAATACAAAAGCCAGGGTCATCGTTTGAGCGAAATTCGGGGTCCGTAGATGTGCAGGGGTCATTGGAAAAAGATAGGTCGGAGCCCATAATGAATAAACAATCGTTGAAAGAAAATCCATAATAAATCAACACTCTCAATGTATATAGGTAAACAAAGCGAATGTAAACAATCAGTCTGTGACATATCAATGTCAATATGTATTTTTTTCGTTTTATTAGTGTTGCAATAGAAAAACATCATTAAAAAATCGATCGAAAACAAATATGATTATGTTTAACATTCTTCATATTTCAGTTTATAAAACGTTTTAAATGACGAAACTAATTAAAAACAAATATTATATTTTTTTATTAAATACTTATAGTTGTATTAAGTACTGCGAGATCTTGCAGGTAACACAAAACGTGGATCAATAAAGCAAATCAATGAAGATACTTTAAAAAAATATTTTTTCAATAAAATACAAATGTACACTCCAACAACAATAGAATGGCTAGCTAAAAAAATATTTTTTTTTTTCATAAACTTGTTTTTTGATAGCAGCTTGTTCACGCTAGGCCAAAAATGGACATTGCCCTTTTAAAAAGCCCGCGTCAACGTTTCAATTCCCACGCTCTTTTTTTCAGCATGTAAATAAACGTCGACAATATAGAAGTAGTACAAAAATTTATATGAGTAAAAAATTTTAAGTTCATCTTCATGTTGACTGTTTTAAAATACATAACTCACAGTAATACATAATACTATTACGATAAAAGAGTTGCTAGTGAAATTCAAGTTCAGTAATTCCAACGTTCCTTAAACGCAACATTTCGCGGAATGTAAACTAATTAATCAATATTTATTAAATACTAGAAGACCTGGCGAACTTCGTATCGCCCTATAATCAAGAAATATCTATTACGTTTTTTTTATTTATATTTTTTTGGAGTTTACTTGTAAGCCATAAATCACCGTGTTTTGAAGTTCGACAGAATGATTGTCATATTAGTTGTCAAATCTAATGTCAAAAAAAAAAAAACGTTTGTATGGGAAATAGAAAAGGGCTGTTTTTATGGTTTTCCCAGTAATGAATCAATTTTTTTCAGCTTTTATACCTTCAGCTTTTATGACTCTGGATTTACAAGAAAAATTAGTCTTCTGAGAAATCTAATATTTCTTAAAAGATAGAATTTTACTATTTTAATATGCTCACACTAAAATAAAGACATATGTGAATTGAACTTTATGCATGGCACAAAATAATTCATTCTAGAATCGACCTATCTGCCTTATTATCACTCATTCATTTTAACATCAAATTTAGATCTCAACATCCACATTTGAATACCTTCGTCCTCAGCGTTCACATTAGTAATACATCATATTATAACCCTATCATTAGACTGCCGTACATACAATGATTTACTTTCAAAACACAGTGACATGTTAGATATATTTGATCCCAATTTTACAAGGCTTAAAAATAGGGTAAGGCTTATTATATTGACGATTCAATGATTTACTCTCCAATGACTTTTTTTTTTTCTTATGTTTATTGCCATGTAGTTGTTATTGAATTATATTTTAATTTTGACAATTTATTTATTATTATAATTTTTTAATTTAATTCTTTAATTTTATTTTATTTTTTTAATTATACTTGTTACACAATCTTAATTGACTGTATCTGTCTCTTTTGCTCCTATTTATATTATTGTTGACTCAGTGAATGTAATTTAAACTAATTTGTAATGTCCGTTAATGTTTTTTTTTTTGTATCAACAACTAAGTAATTGAATTTAAGTTATATGTTCCTATTTATTCATTAGTCTTAAATTGTACCTAAATAATGTAGCTCCTGACAAAAATATTGGTTTTGTAATGATTATGAAGTGTACACATGCTTGGGAATATAATCAAGCTAAATATAATTTTAGACTGTAACTCAAATGTAATCCGGATTATATTCTGTTTGTGTGCCTAAATAAATAAATAATCAGAATCCTTATCAACAACTTATAGGCAGTTTGAAGATCCTACCTAATACCTAATCCAATTCAATAACTGTATTAGTGAAGAGCTTTGGGTTTAGGCTAAAAGAATATTATATATACTTAAAGAAAACATAAAATTTGGTTTGAAATGTAGTAAGAATAAAAATGATAATATTGAAGGATATGTTATAAGGAAAGATATGTTATAATGATATGTTATAATGATATAGGCAGACCCTGGCTATAGCTGGGAAATTGCCAGGTAGAAGATATGTTATAATGATATAAGGACTGGAGCAGTGATGTTAATGACAGTAAATCATATTCAGGGTTTTGTTATATTTTGTCAGGATCAGTTATATCCTGGAATTGTAGCAAACAAAAATGTATTTCACTTTCTAGTACTGTAGCTGAAAATGTGTCAAAATCAGAAGCCTGCAAAGAAGCAGTGTATTTGAGAAACTTACAAAATGAAGTGACTTGTAGAATGTATACTATTATTTTGTACTCATATAATGACAGTATGAGTGCTCAGAAATTATAACTGAACCCAGTATTCCATAATAAAACTAAACATATGGATGTCAGGTATCACTATTGCTGAGATATTATAAATAAAAACATTGTTAGTATTAATTATTTGTGTATATCTGATATGCCTGCAGATTTATTTACCAAAAGCTTAAGTGTTGTAAAACATTATAAACATGTAAATGCTTTAGGAATTGTTAGAGTGTAATATATTTTAACTTTAAGTTCATGTTAAGTATTTATATATTTTAAAATAGATCATATTTTAATGGGAAGTGTTGTGGATATCAAAATATGGATACAACTAGCCATCTTGTGGCAATCATGTCAATAAGCGTTATTGTATTTGTCTATGTTCAATAAATCATTCTTCTGTCGATCTTCAGTTGACACACGTTGTTTTATTATATATTAATTATCGTAATCTAATTCCTATTAAACAGTTTATTTATTCATAATGGTGCTGAGGGAGCAGGATGTCTTTGTCTCTACTAACGTTTACATTAAGATCGGGTGTTGTCATATTTTCACAATAAAACTGCTAAGGTTATATTCTTACTTTCTGTTGCCCTCACACACTCATAAAAATATTTCCATCTGACTCAAACGAATATTGTAGCACACATAATTTTAACAAATGTGTAAAGTTGATATTTTTTATGATTTTTATGAAAATCTTGAAACGTTCCTTCCGCCGTATATCTTTTCAAACATGTAATAAGGGGAGAGGCACAGAACTATGAACAAGACATTCACTCTTAAAATAATCTAAAAAAAAAACGAAGACATTTCTCTTTTTTTTTGACAGATGGGGTTGATGGGGATGATGGGGATGATAGGGGTGATGGGGATGAAGGGAGTGATGGAGATGATGGAGGTGATGGGGATGACGTGGATGAAGGGGGTGATGGGGATGATGGGGGTGATGGGGATGATGGAGATGATGGGGGGATGGGGATGAGGGATGATGATGGAGATGATGGGGATGTGATGGGGATGGGGATAGGTGATGGGGAGAATGAAGGGGGTGATGGGAAGATGATGGGGATGATGGGATGATGGGGGTGATGGGGATGAGAATGGGATGATGGAGATGATGGGGGTGATGGGGATTAAGAGAATGATGGAGATGATGGGGGTGATGGGGATGAAGGGTGTGATGGGGATAATGTGGATGATGGGGATGTAGGGATGATGGGGGTGATGGGTGTGATTAGGATGATGGAGATGATGGAGATGATGGAGATGATGAGGATGATGGGGTTGATGGGGATGATGGGGATGATGGGGGTGAAGGGGTTGATGGGGATGATGGGGATGATGGGGGTGATGGGGATGAAGGGAGTGATGGAGATGATGGAGGTGATGGGGATGACGTGGATGAAGGGGGTGATGGGGATGAAGGGGCTGATGAAGATGATGGAGATGATGGGGGTGATGGGGATGATGGAGATGATGGGGGTGATGGGGATGAAGGGGCTGATGGAGATGATGGGGCTGATGGGGATGAAGGGGCTGATGGAGATGATGGAGATGACGGGAATGATGGGGGTGAGGGGGATGATGGGGGTGATGGAGATGATGGAGATGATGGAGATAATGGGGATGAAGGGGGTAATGGAGATGATGGCGATGATGGGTGTGATGGGGATGATGGAGATGATGGGGATGATGTGGATGATGTGGATGATGGAGATGATAAAGATGATGGGGATGATGGGTGTGATGGAGATGATGGGGATGAGGGGGTTGATGTGGATGATGGAGACGATGGGGATGATGTGGATGATGTGGATGATGGAGATGATGAAGATGATGGGGGTGATGGGGATGATGGAGATGATGGGGGTGATGAGGATTGAGAGGGTGATGGAGATAATGGAGATCATGGGGATGACGGGGTTGATGGGGGTGAGGGGGATGATGGAGATGATGAAGATGATGGGGGTGATGGGGATGATGGAGATGATGGGGGTGATGGGGATTAGGGGGATGATGGAGTTGATGGAGATGATGGAGATGATAGGGATGATGGGGATGATGGGGATGACAGGGGTGATGGGGATGATGGGTGTGATGGGGATGATGGAGATGATGGAGATGATGAGGATGATGGGGTGTATGGGGATGATGGGGATGATGGGGATGATGGGGATGACGGGGGTGATGGGGATGATGGGTGTGATGGGGATGATGGAGATGATGGAGATGATGAGGATGATGGGGTGTATGGGGATGATGGGGATGATGGGGTTGATTGGGATGATGAGGGTGATGGGGATGATGGAGATGATGGAGATGATGGGGATGATTGGGGTGATATGGATGTTGGGGGTGATGGGGATAAAGGGGATTATGGGGATGATGGATATGATGGGGGTGATGGGGATGATAGGGATGATTGGGTTGATGGGGATAAAGGGGGTTATGGGGGTGATGTGGATGATGGGGATGATGGGGATGATGGAGATAATGGTGATGATGGGGGTGATGGGGATGAAGGGGATGATGGGGATGATGGAGATGATGGAGATGATGGGGATGATGGGGTGATGGGGATGAAGGGGGATGATGGAGATGATGGAGATGATGGGGGTGATGGGGATGAAGAGGGTGATGGAGATGATGGGGATGATTGGGGTGATGGGGGTGAAGGGGGTGATGGGGATGTTGGGGGTGATGGGGATAAAGGGGATGATGGGGATGATGGATATGATGGGGGTGATGGGGATGATGGGGATGAAGGGGCTCATGGAGATGATGGGGATGATGGGGGTGATGGGGATGAAGGGGTTATGTGGTGATGGGGATGATGGGATGATGGGGATGATGGGGATGATGGGGGGTGATGGGGTGATTGAAGGGATGATGGGGATGATGGAGATGATGGGGATGATGGGGTTGATGGGGATGATGGGGATGATGGGGATGATGGGGTGATGGAGATGATGGGGATGATGGGGGTGATGGGGATGAAGGGGGTGATGGAGATGATGGAGGTGATGGGGATGACGTGGATGATGGGGGTGATGGGGATGATGGGGCTGATGAAGATGATGGAGATGATGGGGGGGTGATGGGGATGATGGAGATGATGGGGGTGATGGGGATGATGGGGATGATGGAGATGATGGGGCTGATGGGGATGAAGGGGCTGATGGAGATGATGGAGATGACGGGGGATGATGGGGATGAGGGGGATGATGGGGGTGAGGGGGATGATGGGGGTGATGGAGATGATGGGGATGATGGGATGATGGGGATGAAGGGGGTAATGGGGATGATGGCGATGATGGGTGTGATGGGGATGATGGAGATGATGGGGATGATGTGGATGATGGGGATGATGGAGAAGATAAAGATGATGGGGATGATGGGATGATGATGGAGATGATGGGGATGATGGGGGATGATGGGATGATGGGGATGATGGGGATGATGGTGGATGATGTGGATGATGGGATGATGAAGATGATGGGGATGATGGGGATGATGATGGATGATGGGGGTGATGATGATGATGGAGATGATGGGGATGATGGAGATGATGGAGATGATGGGGATGATGGGATGATGGGGGTGATGGGGATGATGGGGATGATGGATGATGATGATGGGGGTGATGGGGATGATGGAGATGATGGGGGGGGGTGACGGGGATTAGGGGGATGATGGAGTTGATGGAGATGATGGAGATGATAGGGATGATGGGGATGATGGGGGGATGACAGGGGGTGATGGGGGATGATGGGTGTGATGGGGATGATGGAGATGATGGGATGATGGGATGATGGGGATGATGGGGATGATGGGGATGATGGGGATGATGGGGATGATGGGGATGATGGGGATGATGGGGATGATGGGGATGATGGAGATGATGGGGATGATGGGGTGATGGGGATGATGGGGATGATGGGGTTGATGGGGATGATGAGGGTGATGGGGATGATGGAGATGATGGAGATGATGGGGATGATGGGGGTGATCTGGATGTTGGGGGTGATGGGGATAAAGGGGATTATGGGGATGATGGATATGATGGGGGTGGGGGATGATGGGGATGATAGGGATGATTGGGTTGATGGGGATAAAGGGGGTTATGGGGGTGATGTGGATGATGGGGATGATGGGGATGATGGAGATAATGGTGATGATGGGGGTGATGGGGATGAAGGGGATGATGGGGATGATGGAGATAATGGAGATGATGGGGGTGATGGGGGTGATGGGGATGAAGAGGGTGATGGAGATGATGGGGATGATTGGGGTGATGGGGGTGAAGGGGGTGATGGGGATGTTGGGGGTGATGGGGATAAAGGGGATGATGGGGATGATGGATATGATGGGGGTGATGGGGATGATGGGGATGAAGGGGCTCATGGAGATGATGGAGTTGATGGAGATGATAGGGATGATGGAGATGATGGGGATGATGGGGGTGATGGGGATAAAGGGGATGATGGGGATGATGGGGATGATGGGGGTGATGGGAAAGATAGGGATGATGGGGTTGATGGTGATAAAGAGGGTTATGGGGGTGATGTGGACGATGGGGATGATGGAGATGATGGGGATTATGGGGATGATGGAGATGATGGATGGAGATGATAGGGATGATGGGGATGATGGGGATGATGATGGGGATGAAGGGGGGTGAGGAGATGATGGAGATGATGGGGTTGATGGGGGTGATGGGGATGATGGGGGTGATGGAGATGATGGAGATGATGGAGATGATAGAGATGATGGGGATGAAGGGGGTAATGGGGATGATGGAGATGATGGGGATGACGGAGTGATGGGGATGATGGGGATGATGGGTGTGTTGGGGATGATGGAGATGATGGGGATGATGTGGATGATGTGGATGATGTAGATGATGGTGATGATAGGCATGAATGGGGAGATGGGGATGATGTGGATGATGGAGATTATGGAGATGATGGGGATGATGGAGATGATGGAGATGATTGGGATGATGGGGGTGTAGGGAAGATGGGGGTGATGTGGATGATGGGGATGATGGAGGGGATGATGTGGATGATTGGGGTGATGGGGATGATGGGGTTGATGATGAGGGGAATGATGTGTCTGATGAGGATGATGGGTGTGATGAGGATGATGGAGATGATGGAGATGATGGAGATGATTGGGATGATGGGGATGATGGGGGTGATGGGGATGATGGAGATGGTAACGGTAATGGCATATTTGTTATATTTGGATGGCACATTTGGCATATAAAAACATGGTATATAGGGAAAATTGGTATATAAGGAAAATTGGTATATAAAGACCTTTGATTTATAAGGAAAATTGGTATATAAGGACATTTGGTATACCTCCGTCATTTCAGTTTACTTTGAAGGTTTATTAGGTTTTTTTTTTTTTCAACAAATAAAAATGAAAAAACAACAATTAATTCCTTAATTAAAATATATTCTAATTCTTAATACATGTCACAATATATAAGAAATTAAAGTTATAACACCTACATTATATTAAGAGCAATGATTTAAAATTACATAAAATTTTTACAATTTAATGATTTTTACCGTTCTTCTAGTACACGAATTGCTCAAAATGCTGTACCAACTCTATACTTAAGTATCTAAAGTAAGCAACTTCCCAAGTAGATATAGGCACACAATACATACTACTAATATAAAAAAAAAATATAAATAATCAATTATATTTTATAAATATAGATAATATTTTACATTATTATTATTTTACTTTAGAAATTGCTGCTCATAATTAAAAATTAAAAAAAAAAATATGATTAAATTGAATATAATGAAATAGGTATACAAGTCATCTTAACATTTTTATATACTTACATGGTATATAGATTTGATCGATTTATAATGTGCGGTCTTCATTACCTTTTTTATCTAAATAAAGAAAAGTGCCTACAAACAGTATCGCAATATAACTACTTGTGTCACTTCTTGACATAGGTAAAACAAACACAAAGTGTTCTAAATATGCAGAGATTATAATTTCACTGGATAACTACAAACCAAAAAAAAAGTCGTTTATTGTTTTTTATGTAATATAAGAATGACAGTGTTTAAATCAGTAAAAATTACCTTTCTGCCGGAAGTCACTATTAAGTATTAATAACCCGAAAAAAACTGATAAGGGATGATAGGGGTGATGGGGATGAAGAGGGTGATGGGGATGAAGGGGGTGATGGAGATGATGGAAATGATTGGTGTGATGGGGATGATGGAGATGATGGGGATGAAGGGGGTGATGGGGATGATGGGGATGATGGGGGTGATGGGGATGATGGGGGTGATGTGGATGTTGGGGGTGATGGGGATAAAGCGTGTGATGGGGATGATGTGGATGATGTGGATGATGGGGTTGATGATGAGGGGAATGATGTGTCTGATGAGGATGATGGGTGTGATGGGGATGATGGAGATGATGGAGATGATGGGGTGATGGGGATGATGGGGATGATGTGGATGATGGAGATGATGGAGATGATGGAGATGATTGAGATGATGGGGATGATGGGGGTGATGGGGATGATGGAGATGATGGAGATGGTGACGGTGATGGCATATTTGTTATATTTGGATGGCACATTTGGCATATAAGAAAATGGTATATAGGGAAAATTGGTATATAAGGAAAATTGGTATATAAGGACAATTGGTATACCTCCGCCATTTCAGTTTACTTTGAAGGTTTATTAGGTTTTTTTTTTCAACAAATAAAAATGAAAATACAACAGTTAATTCCTTAATTAAAATATATTCTAATTCTTAATACATTTCACAATATATAAGAAATTAAAGTTATAACTCCTACATTATATTAAGAGCAATGATTTAAAATTACATAAAATTTTTACATTTTAATGATTTTTAGCGTTCTTCTAGTACACGAATTGCTCAAAATGCTGTACCAACTCTATACTTAAGTATCTAAAGTAAGCAACTTCCCAAATAGTTATAGGCACACAATACATACTACTAATATAAAAAAAATATAAATAATCAATTATATTTTATATATATAGAACATATTTTACATTATCTAAGCGCACGGTAGTGCGCCGGCCAAGTTCCACAGGCCGGCGCATGCCGTGCACTATATTTACACGAACCGTTTCGACCCACTTTTGACCCCCCTGTAGCTCAGTGCCTATTGCAAGTACAGAGATAAAATTTTACCTACGTAATCATATACTAGAACTAAAGCAGTATGCCAAATTTCATAGATAAAGCTTCAGTAGATCCTGAAATATGACCCTGTGAAAATAGCTAATTTTGGCACTGACTCACTGACAGGTAATCAAAACCTCTAGGCCACTTCCCATTGTTTTAGCATTATGAAATTTGGTACACAGGTTGTGTGTTATATGTAGATTAACAAAAAATTAAGAAATCGGTCAAGCGTGAGTTGCCTCAATTCTAAATATCGAATTTTTAATAAATTCGACCCACTTTTGACCCCCTGTAGCTCAGTGTCTATTGCAAGTACAGAGATAAAATTGTACCTACGTAATCATATACTAAACCTAAAGCAGTATGCCAAATTTCATAGATAAAGCTTCAGTAGATCCTGAAATATGACCCTGTGAAAATATCTAATTTTGGCACTGACTCACTGACAGGTAATCAAAACCTTTACATAGGCGCTCAGCTCAGCACAATAAAATACATAATAATGAAATATTAATAATTAATAATATGAGTACATCTATCAATCGGTGATAAATGAAACTAAAAAATAAAAAATAAATATAGTTTAAAAAAAAACTAAAAAACACGCTCCAATGATGAAAGAAACCGCGTGGAAACTAATTTAACCTTTAAACCTTGGAAATCAATTTAATTTAAATTGTTTAAAATAAACAATAAACGTATTATTGAAAAAAAAGCGTGGGGCGCTTCTCAAGAAGTGATATACGAAGCTCATCACGCTTTTTTTTTCACAAAAATACCATTTATTGTTTGTTAATTTATTTTTAAATTAATATTATTGTGAAAAAAGTGTGGGGCGCTTCTTAAGAACTGATATATATATAAGGGATATAAAATATTGTCATGTATTATAATGCACACTGTATAACTTAATTAAATATTGCTTACCTAAAAAATCAGGTTTCTATTGTTATAAATTACTTTCGATAGATGGCGCTAGCGGTATAATTGAATCGCGATATTGTTTTGTCTGCAGTATATATGAATGAAAGTCGATAAGGAATCGATGGTCATTTCTTTCTATTTCTTTCTACACTTATGTCTTGATATCTTATATATGGTTACGATTACGATTAAATGGATCACTGATTTGACTTGCTAAAGGATTAATTTTGATATTGCTTATTGATTGATTACTTGTGTGTGTTAAAAGCACAAATTCACTCTATTTCTTTTCTACTATTCATTTACCAACGATGGAAATTGTACATCTTTCGGTGGTTGGCGGAGATATACCACATAGGGTAATTCCTATGCCATCAGATGGTAGCTGTATGTTTCATGCTGTAAGTTATGCATTGTACGGCTGTATAGTACGATTGTATGTACGATTTCTTGAAAAAAGTATTGAAATCTCACCAAAAACATGCCTGTTAAAAAGGGGGCCAAGTTCCAATCGGCTAATTGTTTGCCTAAAAAAGTGGTGAAATCCAATCTAATGCCAAGTTAAGATGCACTTTGAAATCGATCATAATCATCTTCATCAACAGCATGATCCACTGGTAAACATTTGCCATTCCCAAGAGTCGCCTCCACACCCAGTCCTCTGCCTTCCACATCCAGCTACTACCCGCCACCTTATTCACGTCAACGGTCCATCTGGCCGAAATTCACTTTACCATACACCCAACTTAAAATATGGTATAGTTGTGAAAATACGTAGGTGCTTGGTTAAAAATATCTAAAATTATAATACTTCTAAATTTGAACTTGGCAGGTTAATTTAATTATTTAAATTATAAAATATTTAAATTATATAAATATAAATAATTATATAACTAAATAATAAATTAATGATACAATTAATTAAGTGTTACGTACAGCACAAAAACCTGCCAAGTTCAAATTGAGAAGTATTATAATTTTAGATATTTTAAAACCAAGCACCTACGTATTTTCACAACTATACCATATTTTAAGTTGGGTGTATGGTAAAGTGAATTTCGGCCAGATGGACCGTTGACGTGAATAAGGTGGCGGGTAGTAGCTGGATGTGGAAGGCAGAGGACTGGGTGTGGAGGCGACTCTTGGGAATGGCAAATGTTTACCAGTGGATCATGCTGTTGATGAAGATGATTATGATCGATTTCAAAGTGCATCTAAACTTGGCATTAGATTGGATTTCACCACTTTTTTAGGCAAACAATTAGCCGATTGGAACTTGGCCCCCTTTTTAACAGGCATGTTTTTGGTGAGA